TAAGGAATTTTTATGTAGTTGGGAGTCTGTGAAATACAAAAATACCAACAGAAAAATGGACACAAACACACAATTCACAAATGAATGGGTCTCAGCTAAAATAAGTACATAGTGACCTCAGTTATCAAGTATCAAGTATGGAGGGGTACAGACTAGGTCATTAACAGAGGCTGTCTTTAGGTTGGGAGTTGTGGATAATATTTACTTTCTTTGTTTATATTTGGATTCTAGGGTTTTCCTACAATGAACATGGACAATTTTGGTAAGCAGTTATTAAGTAAAAAACTAAGTTCAGAACACTGTGGGAAATGTGAAATATGGAAACAACCTCTTCCCCCTCAAGGAACTTTTCCTAGTGCTACAGGAATGTCTGGTTAATGGCTTCTAAGTAATTTACCACTAGCATTGTTCAGGAAATACAATAAGATGAGAAGAATGGATTCTTAAAAAGCTTATGACACATCATGAAAAAACTAGAAAAAACACCCACTACTTATTTAATTTTTTGATACAAAAGGAGGGTTCTTTTCTCAAATGATCTGATTTATACTTATGCAAAGTTTCCTTATAAAAACTTAATTCTGCCAATAAGGGCATAAAGTTAATGCATAGTCAAATTTGTTAAGTATTTTATTTCTTCTGAAAACATAAGGCCTAAAATGTTTCGTTATATATTCTTTTATCTTTCCTAAGATAAAATATAACTCTCCCCCCATTTTTTTTATCACAGCTTTTAAATCTACAAGTGAAGGTCTCTTTTGTGCAAAATTACGGTTTTTCTTTAGCTGTATTTTCATCTGCTTCCTCTGACAGAAATTCAGTGTGAGAAAGGATTTCTGAGATAATTTGATATCCTCCCCCCTTGACTGAGAGATGAGGGCTAAGGCCCACAGAGGTTCAATTAGGACAGTCAAGCTAAAAATAACCCAGGCTAGCATAGTTTATTACTTCTTTAGACTCGTTCTCATTTCAATTTTATACTCATAAACCAGAAGAGTTCTTTAACATTAAACAGTAGCTTGACTTAAGTGTTCAATTTAGTACTTAAATAGTGTCTCCCGTCAGAACACGCCAGGGATCCTTCCACCCAGCTGATGCTACAGTGAGGGCCTAGTGTGTGTGACTGGGTATGACTGCTGAACCTCGATGGCTTTTGTCACAGCTCAGCCACAACCCCAGTGAAACATGAGGCAGAGAACTCCAATATCTTGATTATATATACACTCTCAGGCAGCACTGGTATACTAAATGCCATCGTTAATTTCCAAAAGAATCACAGACTTATAGCTTAGGTTTAAGAGTAAGAAAGTAACTCAGAATTTTGGACATTCTTCTGAATAGCAGAGGATCCATTACAGTGCAGAAGGGATACATCTTTAGGTCACCAGGATAACCCTCAGTGCCCCCTATCTGGCAGACTACAAGCTCCTTGAAGGCAGACTACAAACTCTACTTTCTTAGTTTTTCTTTGTTTCCCTAGTGCCTAGCAGACTTCCTGGCATGGAGCCAGCACTCAGCGAATTATGTTAAAGTGAGGTGGTAAGAACAGATGGGAAAGATCTCCAGAGAGTGAGTGTGCCTGTAACCAATGCTCTATGACATAATAGCTTTGTGCTGACCCTGAAATGTCCCAGATACATACAGAGTTCTACTTACACAATAAAGTCATTACTTTCTAAAGTAATTATTTTGGTGATTATTGGCTATTTTCTCTAATAAAGAAATAGGAAAAATAATAAATAATTTTTAATTTACCCAAGCCCCAGAGCTTTACATCTGAGGAAAAGGAAAAACAAACAAACAAACAAACAAACAAACAGCCTCTACACAGGGAGCTGGGTTTGTAAATATGAAAGAAAATATTGTTGAAATGGGATATAACTGAGTGCAACCAAAATTTACTTTATGTTTTTCATATTGCTAGGAAAATGAAACAAAACAAAACAAAACAAAAGGTAAAAACTCTGAGAACAACTTCCCAGCTCCATTCTTAGCAATAGGCCAAAAACTGAGGCTACAAGGACCTCGAGATTTCTTATGAGAAACTGTAGTAAGAAAAATACAGTGACTCATCCCATAATAATGCCCCTTCTTCCCAAAGTACACATCACAATTCCCACATCCCTGGCATGTGGGCACTTGGTGCAGAACTATTGCAACACGGAGCATCTCGCTGCACCAGTGCCCCTTGGTGGGCGAGAGAGATGCTGATATTAGGGTAACAGACCTCCCTGGTGCTGGGGGAAGGCTATTAGCGGGTGGCATGGTTGCACTCGTTCTGCCTCCCAAAGGAGAGGGCTTACTCCCCTTGTACTACTTGATCTGGATCAGCAGTTCTTTTGTGTAGCCACCTTTAAGAACTGGGGAGCTGGGTACAGCTTCTGTACAGGATCAAAGAATCCCCTGGCAGAGCAGTTCTGAATAGGCACCCCCAGGATCACCTAACCAACAGTCATTCAGACACTGAGGAACCAAAACGGGGGGGAAAAGATGAAAGAAAAGGAATCTACTACTCACGGCACAAGCAAGGTTCCCAGGCTGTTGCTCGGGTACTGGCTCACTCCCCCATCACTTCTGGGACCATAGAGAACTAAGTTCAGTGAACAGTTAGAGGAAAATAACTGCTGTTTCTTGACAAAAATGTATCTCCAATACAGTATTTAGGAAGCCAATTTCCCAGGCCTTCCCAGTCAAATAGTCCTGGAGAATAATTACCAAGAGAAATGAGACGGATCCTGCCCTTTGGCGAATATCAGTGTAAACTGATAAAGAATCCAAAGCTTTCTGGAAGTTCAAGGAATATTCACAGAGGAGCCAGATATCACTGGCTTTGGGCATTTGAAGTATATATCAAGGACTATGCATGCCTTCTCTCAGACAGAAGGCAATTCTGGGAAGGAAGGATGGTTTATTGACCCTCAAATGGCTGAGACAGGTGGGCTCCTCAGAGATCAAACATGAATGAGGCTAAAGCTCCAAGGCACATGTGGTAGAGGGACCAAGTTGTCGGCTCGATGGGCAGTGTGCAGGAGGGTCCTTCTCCAGGCCTGGATATTTTACTGTTTCTGGGGGCGACAAGCTTGAGGAAGTGGTGGATGAGAGGCCTGTTAGGAGGGAAGGTGCACAGGTGAGCTGGCCAGCCCGAAGGGATGCACAGATCCTATGTCCAGGGAGGGAGCTGTGTAGTGCTGCTAAGCGTTAGCAGACTCCCACGTGTGTGGCTGGGACAGCGTGTATGTGAAGGCACAGAGGTGGGGAAAAGAGCAGCTGAAGAGACAGAGACTGACCACATCTAAAGAGAGTCACTGAAAACAATGAACGATCCTCATGATATAAATGTACTTTTCTTTATAAGCCGTTTTGGTTAACTCTGATAGTGTTATCACTAAACGTCAGAACATTCTGAAGAGAAGAAAATTGAACTGGCTTGTGTAAAAGGCTCAGACTAGACTAGTCAACTTTTCAGAATGAGAATGCTTAACCTTTAGGAAGTCCTCCAGATTATAGGATTTATTTGACAGCAGCTATAGCAAAATCAGGATCTGTATAAATACCAGTGCCCCAAAGGAGGATAACATTTCATTTGTATTGAGATGTTTTAATTCACCCTTAATAATTTAAGATATTACGTATTAATATTACATATCATATAAGATCTAATTTCTTCTTTTTTCCATCTGAAGCAATAACACTTCCTGGTACAGTTAATTGTTGTTTTCTTAAACCAAAGATCAATTTCTTCACTGCTCTGAGAATCACTTAAGTTATATTATATTAATTTGCCAACAGCATTACTATTTTTGTATTTATTAACTTACTCAGATAACTCTAACATCCTGGAAAAATCTCAAAGAATACACTTTTAATACTCTTCAACAAATTTGCTTCATTTATGTCATTTAATTGACAGATGAAGAAATAAGGGTCCCACTGGTTTTTCCAAAAGGCTCATCTCCAAATAAAAGCATTTCTGCTCTTTACTTTTCCTAGGTCTCTAATTCACCCTTCTAGTCTCCATCCGTTTATTTCAGATGAGGTAAGAATCTGGTTTTAGACCATGTGGGCCAAATGTCACATTTCATATGGATTAAAAAATAATAAACATAAGGGGTAATCTAATATTCCCATAAATTATTTTAGAAGCATCATAATCCTGTCACACTTCATGTCCAGCTTTCATGTCTCCTAGTTTTTTTCTTCTTTGTTAAAGTTCAAGTGATATATCCAAAAATATGAAAAAAAAAGTTTGCACCGAGGTAAGTTCAGAGAGAATGGACTGTGGCTGCAATGACACACACACACACACACACACACACACACACACACACACACCCTCCAAGGAGACTCTCTCAAAGGCATATGTTAAGTTTACAAGGCACAGCTATAAGTTACAACATGAAGGGGTAGTTTTCTGTATCTATTTCTCTGAAGAGAGAACTCCAATGAAACACAAACGAAACAGGCAGGACCTGATGGAGCTTGAGACTTAGCCTGAGAAAGGAGAGAGAAAACAAACCCTATCAGCAAAGAAACACACTGGGGAAAAGTATGATTCTCATGAAAATGTCAGTGATTCACCATGGAATAAAATTCAAAGCCGCTGACCCCAATGAAAGCTTCCAGTGGAAACGTGGATTTTCCTTCATTTCATTTAAAGACCTTGCTTTATCTCATTTGAACATTATCATAAGCACCATCCCAGATTTTGTGATATGTTCCTTTCTCATTAAAACTGATACAAAAAAAAATGATATTAAAAGATACGGCTGATAAACTGAATTTTCAAGGGGACTTCAGGAAGAAAAAAACAAAAAACAAAAACAAAATAAACAAAACACATCAGTTAATATTATCATGCAAAAGAGGTAGGACATTTTTGGTCCCTTAAAACATTCATTGGGTGCTCAATGAATGGCCCAAGGATAACAGAAGACAATATTTTTTTCTATTTTTACAGTAAGTTTTAAGCAAATTTATTTATAGAATTTTTTTGTACATACCAATTCTTCATTCTGACTTGCCATAAGATCATGACTGAATGAAAGTTGACTTACACAGACCACAAATCTGTCAGGAAATACACGGAGCTCTGCACAAAATGAAAAAAATCAAGTTACTAAAGGCATCAAAAATCTCTGAACACAGAAATGCTTGTTCTCAGATTTTTCAGTTACAGCTAAAATATGCATATACATAAGACACATGTCTCCTCTCCTCGTCTCCTTTCAGTATTTGCCATCAGGAGGGCAGGGCAAGCACACAGCTCTAAGGAGCAGTCAGGAGGTTGCAGATAGGTCCGCCTGAGCCCCTGGACCATTAGATTATATCCCATGAAACCCCCAGGCAGGGAAGGGCCCTTGCAGCCTTCCCTCTGTGACAGTTTGCTGTTTTCTGACCAGAACTCACGTTTGGGAAATAGGATCAATGTTTCCTAACGAGTGTGCAGAATTATACAGAAAGAGGAAGACTATGGGATAAAATCTGAAAACGTGACTCATCAATGTTCTCACTAATTAGTTTACTTATCATCTCTTTAGTCAACTGGTCTTAGATGGGTCTGCTACACTGGAGGGCAAATGCCCAATCTGAATCAGGCAATGAAAGGAGAAGTGTGATTAATATGAATAATAAGAAGGAAATAGTAAAATATGCAAGAGCAAAGATGATATAATTACACCTCAGTCACATTACTCTATTATTACAACTTCTTTTATTTTTTTCTAACATTTATTTGTTTTTGAGAGAGAGAGAGAGACAGAGGGCAAGGAGGAGAGGGAGTCACAGAATCTGAAGCAGGCTCCAGGCTCTGAGCTGTCAGCACAGAGCCCTACGCAGGGCAGAACTCACAAATTGTGAGATCATGACCTGAGCCGAAGTCGGTCACCCAACTGACTGAGTCACCCGGGTGCCCCTATTATTACAACTTCTTAAAGCAAGAAGTGCTGGGTTGCGGGGAGGGCTGCAGGAATCTCAGAGCTGGACACCCCAACATTCAATGAAATAAGAATATAAGATGGTAAATGGCATCTGTATCTCTCCTCCTCTCATCTGTCTGTCCATCCATTCATGAATTCACTTATGTATGCAGCCTCCACCTATGTCTGGAGTGGTGTTTAGCTGATGCTAACAGTATATATTCTGGGTGGGAGGTAAGGATCTTCTCCTTTCTTTATACTTGGTTGTCTTGCTTTCATATTTTTCATAATACTTATATATCATATTTATAACACAAAGACATTTTTCTAAAAGAGAAAACTTCCCTCTTAGATATGACCAACATTTTTAAAGAGGGATATTATGAATCAAATAAGTGAAGCTTTTCACATACTTTGCTCATTTCCAACAATGAATGACAATGTGAGGGACTGACTGATAGAAGCTAAGCATGAAGGTAGTGGTTACATATACACACAACTTAAACACAGTTAACACCACACCACCTGGCTAGGTTAAATTACACCAAAGGCCTAATGAGTTGATGTTTCAGTAATAGCCATCTCCTTACCTCTCCCCTGGACCACTGCTGTTTCCTTGGTGATCACTCTTCCCTATTCTAATTCATCCTACTCAGTGCAAGCAGGTTAACAGTTCTAAAAAAATATTTCCACTTATCCTGCTCAAAACCCCATTGTGGATCCTCAGTACCCATCACATGATGGGCAAACTTCAAAGCCCTCCATGAGTGGGGTCTAACCTGTCCTTCTGGTCTCACTCCCACTAGTCCTCCTCATGTAGAAATCTCCATTTCAGAGGGCCTGAGTGTGTTGAAACTTCGACCCCTCTTAGATGTTCTATCTCGTAAGAGACTAGGGATAGACTTAAAAACAAACAAAATAATAATAATAATAAAGTCATTAATATTTATTCATTAATTCTTAAAATTTCTTATTGAAGTAAGTGATAAGTAGTCTGCTTCCCACTTTCTGGAAGGGGGAACTAAGCCCCGCCAGCCAAAAATCATGACATTGAAATACTAGCGGATCAGAATTTAAATTAAAAATTATCAGTTCGGGGTGCCTGGGTAGCTCAGTCGGTTAAGCATCTGACTTCGGCTCAGGTCATGATCTCGCGATTTGTGAGTTCGAGCCCTGTGTCGGGCTCTGTGCTGACAGCTCAGAGCCTGGAGCCTGCTTTGGATTCTGTGTCTCCTCCTCTCTCTGCCCCTCCCACGCTCATGCTCTGTCTCTCTCTGTCTCTCGATAATAAATGTTTAAAAAAATTTTTTTTTTAAAAATAAAAATGATCAGTTCTATTTAATAATTTCTCTGTTTTGTCCTTCCATTTCTTCCTCTGAAAAGTAACAATACTAGAATGATGAATTTTGAACATTTTGGAGCCAGGTATTATATAAACAGAAAGCAACCTCTGTACACTTCTTCTTTGCTTAAGTCATAAGTGAAACTTTTATCATTTTAATATTTAAATAAAGATTTAGGCAATAGCAATCTTTACCATACAGATAGCCTTCATTTTAACAGACAGATACCAGGTTAAGTGGCTTATTTTACTAAGAGAATTGAACAAAGTGGAAAGCCCCAGTAAGAGAGTAATATACTTGAGTGACACTTAAAGTTTAAAAAGTGTAGATAATTGTGAAGATTCCAAGAGCAAACCTCCATACAGTTTATTTTCAAAGTCCTTGTTTCATATCTTATATATTAAAGTCATCCAAGGAAGTTCAGTTAGAGTTTCTTTCCAATGTTCAGATCAGCTTGGAGAATTGTCATTAGCATCTGACTTTATTGTTGTTGGCTGGACGTGTTTGACATCATTTCCTCAGCAGACATCTTGACTTGGGGAAAGGAGGGGGGAAGCTGGCCTTGTCACACACCTAAGAAAGGCTCTGACAGCTCTGGGCTGGGAAAGCATTTTCTCGTGTACACACTTGCTCTGTATCCCAGGGACTTGGTGTGCATAAAGATGAAGTGATTCATGGTGTAACTGCCTGTCAAATCATTCTGGAAGCTCAATGAAAGTGCTGAGATGCAGCAGGAAAGTAAAGCCTGATGTGGCCCAGCTCACAGTTCTCAGACAGGCAGTAAAACAGTGAAAATTGAAAAAAAAAAAATCACAAATGTTTAGAAATACTCTCAATCAGTATTTCAATTTTACAAAGGCAACAAAGAAAGTTGTAATATTCATTCCTTAATTTTCATTCCTTCTCTAGGACAAGCTAATAGTGCAAAATGCTTGACAACCCAAGATATCAGCTTCTTACCAGTATTCTGTGAACTTCTGAAACAGTGGAGGCGTATCCCTCTCTTGAGAAAATAGGCTGTGATTTGAAAGCCATAACCTATAAGGTAAAAGAGGGTATCATTAGATTACAAGTTTGTTTGCCACTAAATCCCACAGCCCTCCCTAGTGCCTACCATGTAGTATGTGTTCAATAATTATTTAACAAATGAAAGATTAAAAAGAATCAATAGAGGGATTCACATGAGAGAAAGGGGTAAATATTACACTATGAGCTCTTCTAGGAGGACTGGCCAGAGCACCTGGTTGGGATTGTCTCCAGTGCCTTAAGTGGCTCAGTTACTTTATCTGTTACAATGAATTCAACCAAGAATTCTCTACCCAGCAAGATTATCATTCCAAACTGTAGGAGAGATTAAGAGCTTTCCAGAAAAGCAAAAGCTAAAAGAATTCATCACCCCTAATCCGGCCGTACAAGAAATGCTAACAGGCCTTCTTTAAGCCCAAGAGAAATGGCACTATTAATTATAACAACAACAAAAAACATAAAGTAAAAATCTCACTGGAAAAGTAAAATATATAACACAGGTAGTGGAGCAAGCACTTACAAAGCAAGCATGAAGGTTAAAAGACAAAGGTAGTAAATTTCCCTCAAATTACAATAATTAGTTACCGGCAGCAGAAAATGTAAAGATGTAAAATGTGTCATCAAATATATAAAGCATGGGAAAGGAGTAATACAGTAAAGTTTTGGAACGTATTTAAAATTAAGTTGCTATCAACTTAAAACAGACTGCTATTTACATATGACATTTTATGTGAACCTTGTGGTAACCATGAGGAAAAAATACATAATAAATACAAAAAGAAAATGAGAAAAGAATCTAAAGATAACACTAAAGAAAGCCATCAAACCAAAAAAGAAGAGGAAAGAGAAGAAAGGAATAGAGAGGAACTACAAAAACAACCAGAAAATAATTAACAAAATGGCAATAAGCATATACTTATCAATAATTACTTTAAATGTAAATGGTCTAGGGGCGCCTGGGTGGCGCAGTCGGTTAAGCGTCTGGCTTCAGCCAGGTCACGATCTCACGGTCCGTGAGTTCGAGCCCCGCGTCAGGCTCTGGGCTGATGGCTCGGAGCCTGGAGCCTGTTTCCGATTCTGTGTCTCCCTCTCTCTCTGTCCCTACCCCATTCATGCTCTGTCTCTCTCTGTCCCAAAAATAAATAAAAACGTTGAAAAAAAAAATTAAAAAAAAAATAAATGTAAATGGTCTAAAATCACCAGTCAAAAGACACAGAGTGCTAAATGGATAACAAACAAACAATCAAAAAACAACAACAAGACGCATCTATATGCGCCTACAAGATATTCACTTCAGAAGTAAGAACACAGACTGAAAGTGAGGGATGGAAAAAGGTATTCCAGGCAAATGAAAATGAAAAGAATGCTGGAGTAGGTATACTCAGATAAAACAACATAAACTTTAAAACAAAGACTGTAATAAAAAACAAAAGAAGGCATTACATAAAGATGTCAATCCAACAAGAAAATGTAACATTTATAAATATATATGCACCATACAAAGCAAACACTAACAGACCTAAAGGGAGAAATTGAAACCAATACAGTAATACCAGGAGACTTTAATACCCCACTTTCATCAATGGATAGATCATCCAGACAACATCAACAAAAAATTAAAACAGAAACATCAGCTTTAAATAACACGTTAGACCAGACAGACTTAATAGATATATACACTCTATCCAAAAGAATACACATTCTTCTCAAGCGATCATGGAACATACTCCAGGACAGATCACAAGTTGGGCCACAAAACAAATCTCAATAATTTCAAGAAAACTGAAATCATATCAAGCATCTCTTCCAACCACAATGGTATAAAACTAGAAATTAATTAGAAGAAATAAGAAAAAATATAAAAATATAAAGATTAAACAACCAATGGGTCATTGAAGGAACCAAAGGGGAAATTAAAAAATAATCTACAACCAGTAAAAATAAAAACAGGACATACCAAAATACATAGGATGCAGCAAACGCAGTTCCATGAGGGAAATTCATACCTCAAGAAATAAACAAACAACTCAAATAAACAATGTAGCTCTGCAACTAAAGAATAAGGAAAGAAGAACAAGCAAGACCCTAAATTTACAGAAGAAAGGAAATAATGATGACTAGAAGAGAAATAGACACTAAAAAGACAATAGAAAAAAATCAATGAAGAAAGAGCTAGTTCTTTGAAAAGATAAATGATACCGAAAAATCTTAGCTAGACTTGCCAAGAAAAAAGACAGAAGAGAACTCAAATAAAATCAGAGATGCAGAAATACAAAGGGTTGTAAGAAACTGCTATGAAAAATTATATGCCAAAAAACTGTACAACCTTGAAGAAATGAATAAATTCCTAGAAACCTACAATCTCCCAAGATTGCATAATGAAGAAATAGAAAATCTAAATACACCAATTACTAGTAAGGAGATTGAAAGCGTACTGAAAAACCTCCCAACAACAAAAGTCCAGGACCAGATGGCTTCACTGGAGAATTCTACTAAACATTCAAAGAAAATTTAACACCTATCCTTTTCAACTCTTCCAAAAACTGAAGGAGGGAAAGCTTCCAAACATATTTTACAAGGTGAGCATTACCCTGATACCAAAACCAGAGCAAGGGCTCCACAAAAAAAGAAAATTAAAAGCAATATCCTTGGGGTGCCAACGGTGGCTCAGTCAGTTGAGCATCCAACTCTTGATTTTGGTTCAGGTCAAGATCCCAGGGTTGTGGGATGGAGCCCCGCATTGGGTTCTGCAGTAAGCAAAGATCCTGCTTGGGATTCTCTCTCTCTCTCCCTCTGCCCCTCTCCCCTAAGGCATGCACATTCTCTCTCTAACAAAACCCTCAATATCCTTGATGAACACAGATCCCCAAATCCACAACAAATATTAGCAAAACAAATCCAACAATACATTAAAAGAATCATACACCATGATCAAGTGAGATTTATTCCAGTGATGCCAGGATGGTCCAACATCTGCAAATCAATCAACACTGAACATCACATTAACAAAATTAAAGATAAAATCACACAATCATCTCAAAAGATGTGGGGAAAAAGAATATCTGACAAAATGCAACACCCATCTAGGATAAAAACTCTCAATAAGTGGGTATGGAGGAAATATACCTCAGTGTAATCAAAACCACATATGACAATCCTATAGCTAACATCACACTTAATGGTGAAAAGCTGAAAGCTCTAACATCAGAACCAAGACAAGGATGCCCACCCTCACCACTTTTATTCAACATAGTCTCAGAAGTCCTAGCCATAGCAATTAGGGAAGAAAAATAAATAAAAGGCATCCAAATCAGAAAAGAGGTAAAACTGTCTCTATTTGTAGATGACATGATACTATATATAGAAAACTCTACAGAATTCACCAAAAAAACCTGTTAGAACCAATGAATTCATTCAAGTTGCAGGACACAAAATCAATATACAAAAATCTGTGGTATTTCTATACATAACTAACAAAACATTAGAAAAAGAAATTTAGAAAACAATCCCATTTACAACTGCATCAGAAAAAGAGTAAAATACTTAGTAATAAATTTAAGGAGATGAAAGACTTGAACACTGATAACTATAAGACACTGACAAAAGAAATTGAAGAAGATACAAATAAATGGAAAAATATTCTGTGTTCATGGATTGGAATTAATATGGTGAAAATGTCTATACTACCCAACATAATCTACAGATTAATGGCAACACCTATCAAAATTCCAGTGGCATACTTCACAGACCTAGAATAAACAATTCTAAAATTTGTATGGAACCAAAAAAGATGCCAAATAGCCAAAGTAATCTCGAGAAAGAAGAAAAAAGCTGGAGGTATCACACTTTCTGATTTCAAACTATACTACAAAGCTGTAGTAAATCAAAACATTATGGTATCAGTACAAAAACAGACACACAGACCAATGAAACAGAATAGAGAGCCCAGAAATAACCCACACTTATATGGACAGTTAGTCTATGACAAACAAGCCAAGGGCATACAATAGAGAAAGGATGGTCTCTTCAGTAGTGATGTTGGAAAAATCGGACAGCCACATGCGAAAGAATAAAACTAGACCACTATTTTATACCATGCACAAAAAATTAACTCAAAATGCATTAAAGACTTGAATGTTAAGACCTGAAACCATAAAATGCCTTGAAGAAAATATAAACTCCTTGACATCTGTCTTAGCAACATCCTTGTGGATCTGACTACAAAGACAAGGGAAACAAAAGTGAAAGTACACAAATAGGGCTACATCAAGCTTAAAACCTTCTACCCAACAAAGGAACCATCAACAAAATGAACAGGCAACCCACTAAATGGAAGCAGATTTTTGCAAACTATATATCTGATAAGGAGTTAATATCCAAAATACATAAAGAATTCATACAACTTGACAACAACAAATCAACCAACCTGATTTAAAAATGGGCAGAAGATTTGAATCAACATTTCTCCAAAGAAGATATACAGATGACCAACAGGCACATGCAAAGGTGCTCAACACCAATTATTAGGAAAATGCATATTAAAACCACAATAAGAAAACACCTCACATCTGTTAGAATGGCTACTAAAAAACAAACAAACGAACAAAAACAAGAAATTACAAATGTTAGTGAGGATGTGGAGAAAATGGAAACTTTGTGCACTGTTGGTGAGAATGTAAACTGGTGTAGCCACTATGGAAATGATAGTGGCCTCAAAAATTAAGAACAGAACTACTGTATGACCCCTCAATTCCACTCTGAAATATTTATCCAAAGAATATGAAAACACTAATTCAAAAAGATACATGCACCACTATGTTCACTGCAGCATTACTTACAATAGCCAAGATATGGAAACAGTCTACGTGCTTATTGACAGATGGATGGATAAAGAGGATGTGGTACATTTATACAATGGACGACTCAAACATAAAAAATAATGAAATCTTGCCATTTACGACAACACAGGTGGCCCTTGAAGATATTAGGCTAAATGAAGTAAGGCAGAGAAA